TGGGATCTGAATATCTAGTTGTTTATTCCTAGTAGCCTCTCTTACCGGGAAATGTCTCCTAGTGCTTCCATTGAGCCATGGTAGCTCGCTACTGCTCCGGAACACTTAGGCTGGCCGGCATGTGTCCTTCTTCGTTCCTGTGTCTGTCCCTTCGGGGAAATGTCACATGATGAATACCGGAGTCCTGTTAGCCCGCTACAGCCCGGTTTACCGGAGTCCTGCTAGCCCAGTGCTACAGCCCGGATTCACTTGCTGATGACCGACACGTTCGATGCTGGGTCATGGATGCCTGTCCCTGTAAGTTTGTGCCACTTTGGGTTTACGACTAGCCTTGTCAGCCCGGGCTCCTTACCATATGGATGCTAGCGACAGTATCGTATACGTGTGCCAAAAGGCGCAAACGGTCTCGGGCAAAGGTAAGGCGACACCCGTGGGAATACCGTGTGTGAGGCCGCAAAGTGATATGAGGTGTTACATGCTAGATCGATGTGGCATTTAGTCGAGGTCCTGACATTCAGTGAAGATAAAAGTGGACCAATTGAGTCACACAGATCAGGAAAACTACTCCTTCCGTCCCAAAATATAAGATCATTTTTGACACTTGATAGTTAGTGTAAAAAGTGATCTTATGTTTTGGGACGGAGGGAGTAGATGCTAATGAATTTTCACAAGAGAACATTGTACTATTAACAATTTAGGCAGCCTGGTCGTATTTGATCTTACATGTATCTGTGCAAGGAATCCAGAACTAATTCTTATCAGCGGTACACTGGGGGGGAGACGTTATAGCATTTCTAGCCGTGCCCCCAACACGGTCTCCCCAGACGATTTTTCTGCGCCGGCGCTGAAAAAGGACCCAGTCACGTCCTCAGGACCCCGTTTTTCGCCGGCTTGGGCATAAATCAGTGCCGGTGGACCCAGGCCGAACCCGGCGCGCTGGGGGGCGCCCGGGGGCGCCGGGGCAAGTGGTTTTGGCGTGAAAGAGCCGCGGGCCCGCCGAGTCAGCGAGACGGTCGCTTCGTCGCCTCATCGCTTCGGTTCCCGCAGGAATCAATGCCAAGGCTGTCGCGCTGCCGCACCGGTCAGCCTCCATTGATGCCTCACGGGCGGCGCAGTGAAGACGCGCCGCTCCTGCCACACGTCCTCCTGCATGCCGCCTCCCCGACGCCCCGCTTCGGCTATAAAAGGCGCCCACTCCCCGCCGCTGAGCGTCACAGCCTCCCCCTCTCCCTCTCGCAAAAGCCTTCTCCCTGCCGGTGAGCGCCACAACCTCCCCCATTCCCCCCGCGGACGAGCAAAGCATGGTCGAAAGGTTCCCAGGCGACGACATAGCGACGAATGGCTTCGGCCGCCGACACCTCCAAGAGCCAGAGGCGCGCCTCCTCTACGAGGCTGAGTACCCGACGCCCCCTGACATGCGCGTGCCAGGGGCGTGGAGACTGAGCGCCGGCGGCGTCCCAGTGCTGCCGGTACTCGAAGGGGTGGCACGGCGGGCGGAGATCGCCCGTATCCGCTCGTCCCTGATGGAGGAGCAGCGGAACCAGCCGAGGTACGCACCCGACAGTGAAACGCTGTGGACGATGTACTTCCAGCGCCGCCGCGAGGAGTAGATCGCCTCCGTCAACGGCATCATTCCCCGTGGCCGCCTCAACGCTGAAGGACGGCGCGAGTGGTGGGGCATCCCCGGCCGCACCCTCGATGCCGTCCTCGACCGCATCAAGACCGGCAACGTGCCGTGGCTGGAGTACCCGATGCGGCCGTCCTTCTCTCGCTCCCACGGCAGTTCCTGGATGCCGCGACGAATGGAGCCGAGGTCGTCCTCGTTGTTGGGCTCCGGCTCGCCGGCCCTCCACCCCGCCAGGCCCGAGACGGAGGGGACACCGCTCGGGCGTCGCGCTCGCAGCGGTGCCCTCGTCATCAATGAGCCCTCACCGCCTGCGACGACATCGGCGAGGAGTTCCCTACGCCTGGTCCGGCCGAAGCTCGAGCCGGGCTTGCTCCCCGTGAAGCCGGAGCACATCGACATGGTGGCCCCCGACGACGAGTCCGCCCTCAAATGGGCGAAGAAGGACTACATCCGTGAGTAGGTGCGCCGCTAGCGCCGGGCGTACCTAGAGCACCAGGCCCGTCGCCACGCCGAGGAGGGCGGTGTTTTCATCATCGACAGCGATGAGGAGGGCGAGGCCGGTCCGTCAAGCGCCCCGCCACATGTCGGCGACCCCGTCCAGGGCTGCAGCAGGGACGTCGCAGGCGAGGCGCGCGACAACGACGACGACAGTGATGATGGTGACTACACCTGCTTCATTCAAGGGCAGTTTATTGTGGATGGGGTTTCGGTCTTCCACGAAGTCCTTCATGAAGTCCGGTCCAAGCACCATCGCGCGGTCTTCCTGAAGCTCGACTTCCATAAAGACTATGATACGGTTCACTGGCCCTTCCTTTGGGAAGTCTTGCTCCGCAAGGGTTTCGATGACCGGTGGGTGACCCGAGTTATGCAGCTCCTCTCCTGCGGTCGGACCACAGTTAACATTAATGGTGAGATAGGGCCATACTTCCCCACTCTCTATGGGGTTTGCCAGGGTGACCCATTTTCCCCATTTCTATTCAACATGGTGGTCGATGCCCTTGCTGTCATCCTGGATAAGGCCAAAGCCTCTGGCCATATTAACGGCTTAGTCCCTCATCTGGTAGGAGGGGGAGGGGTCTCCCTCCTACAATATGTAGACGATACCATTATAATCGTGGAGGGCTCCGCGTCCGACATAGCCAACCTGAAGTTCCTCCTCCTGTGCTTCGAGCAGATGTCTGGGCTCACGATCAACTTTGATAAGAGCGAAGTGATGATCCTTGGCTATCCTCTAGAGGAGGCCCAGATTACCATAGTTGACCTGCTGAACTACCGCCTTGGTACCTTCCCCACGACTTACTTGGGGATACCCATTAGTGACTCGCGACTCACAGTGGCTGACCTTCGCCCGTCAGTAACCCGGATGTAGCACCGGGTTGAGCCCTGGATGGGGAGGTGGCTCTCGAAAGCGGCCTGGGTAATCCTCATCAACTCCTCGCTTGCTAGCCTACTCTAGTTTATCATGAGCATTTATAGCCTTCATGAGACTCTCCATCAGGAGATCGCCAAATACCAGTCTAGGTTTTTCTAGGCTGGCGAGGGTGACAAGCAGAAATACCATATGGTGATCTGGCCAGACATCTGCAAACCCAAGGACCAGTGTGGTCTTGGGATCTTGTCTTCTCGGTGCATGAACATTGCTCTCCTGACCCGATGGCTTTGGCGTATCGCCAATGGGGAGGGAGGACTCTGGCTTACCATCATCCAAAATAAGTACCTCAGGGGCCAACCTCTAGCTTTCTGTCAGCGCTCTGGTGGCTCCCAGTTCTGGCAGGCTGTGATCCAACTCCTTCCCTTCCTCCGCATCGGCACGTCCATCTCGGTTGGCTTCGGGTCCTCGACCCTATTCTGGTTCGATCGTTGGTTAGGGGATTCTCCCCTGGCTGCTCGATTCCCGGAACTATTTTCCATAGCGGTTGACCGTCTGGTCTTTGTCGAGATGACCCTTATTGGCTTAGGGTTTCTCGCTTTCTGGCGCCCATTCGCCCCCCCCTGAGGTGGCCGCTTGGGACTCCCTCCTCCAGGACATCGCCCTTCTGCAGATGGACGTCGAGGGTACCCCTGATTCCTTCACTTGGCGTCTGGAGCCCTCTGGCCGCTTCTCCACTAAGTCCTTACACGCAGCCATCGCACCCTCGTCAGCCCCTGAGCCCTTTAGCCTGATCTGGGACATTCGCCTGCCTCTGAAGATCAGGATCTTCCTGTGGCAGTGGATCTGTGGACATCTCCCCTCCGGGGTTGAGGTCCTCAAGCGTAATGGGCCAGGTGATGGGATGTGCCCCATGTGCGGCATGGTGGAGGATGCTAACCACATCTTCTTCTCGTGCTCCACTGCCCAGTTCCTGTGGGCCTGCTTCCGCGAGACGGTCGGTGGACAGTGGTGCAACACCAACTTCCCCGACTTACTTGCGGAGATCCACGCCTCCTCCCCTCGCTACCGCCATATTAGATGGCTGTGTGTTGGGGTCCTTGCCTGGACGCTTTGGACCATCTGCAACAAGCTTGTTATTCAGAAAGTGCCTCTCCGACGTGCGACTGACACGATCTTTAAAATGTGTGGCTACTTGCAGCTTTGGCGGCCGCTTAGCCGCCCCCAGGACCGGGACGCCATCAACACCCTCCTCGCCGACCTTCGCTTGATGGCCTTCCGCGTGGCTCCCCCGCTGCCGCACCCTCCACCGGAGTCCGACTAGATGTTGCTCGGGTTGCTGTGTTGAGTGTGTGTTTTGTTCTCAGGGCTTGTTGTGTTGTGCCCTCAACATTAACCCTTATGATTACTCTGTGCGCCCGTGAGACCTATGTGTGTGTGTGCGCGCGCGCGCGCGCGTGTGTGTGTGTGTGTGTGTGTTGGACCTTGTTGGATGTTTGGCTTGGGCGGTTTGCTTTATATATAAAGCGGGGCGAAAGCCTTTTTTGGTAAGAACACTATATTTTGGTCATCGTGTCCAAACAGACATTCACTGGTAATTAAGCTCCAAGATATGTTTTTTTTGTGTGATTGTAAGACCTATCATGTTTTTTCTTGTTTACCTAGCCTGTTGTGTATCTTGAGGATTATGTGTTGTCCTGGTGTTTCAAAATAGATCAACTGTATCAACATCCAACTTGTAGGCTGTAGCTATGTTAAACCGTATCGATTTTATCATAGAAATGTTTATTGTAGCTACGTCCATTATCGTCTTTCAAATACTAATCACCATTAGAGCTGTCTTTCAAATTAATGAACATCGAACGGAATGCAAGAATGAACTGTACTATGTTTTCCCCCAATGAATTAACAAGTAATATTGCAATAATGTATCGAAACAATGTTCATTACAGATAAATTGTAAATTATTACCAGAAAGAATAACCATAAAACAAACTGTCCGGCTCAGACCGTGTCATTGGATTTGGATTTGCCAGTTTGGCGTTGCCGAAATTTGAGCCTCAAGCCACGACAAGTTTGGCGAAACTTGAGCTTCAAGATAGGCCATTTCGCTATGAACATAGTAAGAAAGGGCACTAAACCTACCACAGAGCAAATCCCAATGGCCAACCAGTGGACACGTGCGGATAGCACTGTGTACAAACCAGTCGCAAAAGCTGTAATTGTTGCCATGTATGCAAACCAAGTAAGCTTCTTAGTAACGGAGATATAATAATTTGTGATGTTAGCATCCTCCCACCTTCCCATGAGGCATATGAAGGCCGCAACAAATGAAGAGCACATTGCTAAGGTGTCAGAGACCAAGAATGCTTGAAATGCAATCTCTTTAGACATGATGGGAAGTCCCGCACTTCCAGCATCACTGCTATATCCTCCAGGTAGAGTGAAAGCAGCGGTGAAGGTTATTGTCGCAAGTAGGATTGCCACAAATGACGTGTTGTTTGTGTATTTTTGAGTTTGAGATTGCCTCTCCTTCCTTGATTCAATAGTTTCCCGTTGCTTGGCTACCTTGCTTAGATTATACAATGAGATGTCATCATCATTGGGATCAGCTCCTCGCATAAGCACGTGCACTTCCTTCTGCATGGATTCAATTAAAAACAAGGAACACAAAAAATTAATAAGGTCTACAATAATAATATTATATGATTCAATATGTTTATAGCATATATGTACCCAGTCTAAAGGCTTGTCTTCATCAGTAATGCTCGATAATTGCGAAGCCGCTGAGTTACCATGGTTGTCGAGAATTGTAGTGTCTATTATATCGTCATGAGCCAGTAATGCAGCAACAAGTTTAGGATCACACTGCTGGATTGCGTAATGCAGAGCAGTTTTTCCATCCATGTCTTGCATGTTAATGAGTTTCCGAAGTTGCGGCCTCCTCAAGATAAATTCGACGAACTCTAGATGACCGTTCTGTACAGCTATGTGAAGGCATGTCAAACTTTTTCCAATTGCCGTACCATCTCTGAGTACCGGGCAATAAAAAGCATCCGGGCAATAGAGAAGAAGCACTCGAGCAACATTAACTTGACCCCGAGTAGCGGCCGAACAGAGGAGAGGATAACCACTCTTGTCGGTTTCATATGCTAAAGAAGAATCATGTTGCAGCAATGTGATCAGCACGTCAGACTTGTCATGAGATACAGCCATTCGTATTGGAGTAATCCCATCCGAGTCAGCTTCTCTGGCCAGGTGAGAACGTTTCTTCAAAATTTCGTCCGCAATATCTGAAAGCAAGTCAAGACATGCATGAACGATGGGTTAAGAGCACAGCGATGATGCTAGGACAAGTCTTTGGTACAAAAAATGACGTAGAAAAATCGATTATTCGACTGTTTAGTTTAGTAGTGATAATATATAACACAATATTAAAACACATGAACTACACTAGCTCTGGATAATTCCAAGTTGTAAATCCTAGAGCTAGTTTGCTGCACATACATATATAATTCTATATTTAACTTGTAATCCACAGGTCTCACCTTCATTTCCATTTCTAGCTGCAGCATGAAGAGCATGGCGGCCATACTTTCCCACATGGGAAGAATCAACAATGGCTAATAGCTTTTCGGAAACATCTGCAAAATTCCTCATCACGGCCATGAACATGGGCGACTCATTGTACCTGGTCACGGCTTTAGACAGGGCGGGCTCTGCTTTTATCAACTCCAGCGCGAGCTTCTGGTAGCCGTTGCGAATGGCATGGTGAAGTGCGTTGAATCCATACCTGTCTTGTTGCAAGATTGTCCGCCTCAATTCTTCTTCTTTGCGGCAGCACTCGAGTAAATATGAAACCAAAGATGCATGGCCAAGTGTTACAGCGATGATAAGCGGCGTCTCGTGCTCGCAGTTGACATCTGAAAGGAGAGACGGCTCTAGTTCCAGCACATCCATGCAGAATTTTTTGTGCCCATGGATGGTGGAGATGTGGAGGCAGTTGTTCCCTTGTGGGCTTGTTCCAAGCAGAATGCCTGGATTCTCCTTGGCCCACTCTTTAATTGATGAGGAATCACCATCGGTGGCTGCTTCTAGGATCCGTTCATCCATCCGTGACTGTCCTCCTGATACATCAGTTGTCGTTGTATTGTTTGCCATATATCTGTTGCGTTTACTGCAGCCAAGATGAAAGAAAGGTGATACTTGCATGCTTGATTTTGATGTTCTTTCACTATTTATTTATTTTGTGAAAGAAATAATGGCAATCGTAAGCAACATACAATCAAGGCTGATGTGATCTTCGAACCAAACAGAATCTAAACTAGACTAGACAGACCACCACATGCATTGCAATGTTATTAGGCACAATAGAAGAATCCTGATAGATCAAACTCAAAATGGAGATAAACGAGCTAATGGCAGCAAAACATGGCCATAATCTAGGTGAAATAGTTCCTACTCATACGTACCTCACACAGTAGCAGAGATCAAGTACGCAGTCACACAACGAAGAGCGGAGCTCACTTGTGCTCCACTGGATCGGATGGCACCAACTTTTATGGACGCTGGAGGTAAAAGACACCAACTCACTCGCTCAATTTGATTATTCATTAGCCATGTGTGTGATATTTGGTACCTTTGATAAAGTCCTCGGAACGGGGAACCTTTATAAAGTAGTAGTAATCTGATTACTTACCATTAATTAGATAATACTATCACCCATACCCTTTTAGGATTAGGCATGTGATGGAGCTAGCCTTTAAGATTGATTATCTAGCACACAAGATGCATGCCTGCCTTCCTGCCTAAGTTAAATTGGAAGTTGCACTGTCAACTTTGGTACCTACTCCTATGTAGTGGCCTTGCTAAAGAGCTCCTTGCGAAGATCAAGGCCGCTTGCATTAATGATTTTTGTGAGGAATCACGGGGTGATGGGTGAGGGAGTTCCCCCACATGAGTATATTACTCAAAGTTGGCCATACACTAAGAGAGTGATCTAGTTTATAAGGGAATCCGGATCGAAAACCTAAACAAATTGATTCTGTTTATGAGGGAAACCGGGCCGAAGAACCATACGAGCAACAAGAAGAACAAAAAAGAAGATTAAGTACAAAGTTACAACACAATACAAGGATCAACCATTAGATAGCTGATGAATGCGACACCATTTATCTAACTTTTGTGGGCATTTTGCGTTTGTCTCTATCACAGAGCCCACCAAAGTTGATGAAGCATTCATGGACCCCGCGTGGATTCAAGCTATGCAAGATGAATTGCATCAATTCGAGCTCAATAATGTGTGGGAGCTTGTCAAGCGACCAGACCCACGTAAGCACAATATCATCGACACCAAATGGATCTACTGCAACAAGCAAGATGAAAATGGTCTTGTGGTGAGAAATAAGGCTCGTCTTGTAGCTCAAGGCTACACACAGGTTGAAGGAATTGATTTTGATGAAACTTTTGCACCTGTTGCTAGACTCAAGGCTATTTACATATTGCTTGCTTATGCTAACCATCATAATATCATCTTACATCAAATGGATGTGAAAAGTGCATTCCTCAATGGTAAGATTGAGGAATAAGTATATGTTGCTCAAACACCAGGTTTTGAGGATCCAAAACTTTCAGACCACGTCTTCAGACTCAACAAGGCCCTCTATGGCCTCAAGCAAGCTCCTTGGGCGTGGTATGATACATTGAAGGAATTCCTCATGAAGAAAGGCTTCAAACCCAGTTCACTTGACCCAACTCTTTTCACCAAAATATATGATGAAGAATTATTCATGTGCTAAATATATATTGATGATATTATCTTTGATTGTACTAACAACTATTATAGTGACGAATTTGCCTATATGATGAGTGAGGAATATCAAATGTCCATGATGGGAGAGTTGAAATTCTTCTTAGGTCTTCAAATTCGTCAATAACACAATGGGATATTCATATCCCAGGCTAAATACCTCAAGGATGTGTTGAGGAAATTCGGCATGCAAGATTGCAAAGGCGTCAAAATCCCTATGCCCATAAATGGTCATCTATGCACCGTTGAAAATGGTAAAGACTTCGATAAAAAGGTATACCGCTCCATGATTGGCTCTTTATTGTATCTATGTGCATCTAGGCCGGATATTATGCTTAGTGTTTGCATGTGTGCCCGATTTCAAGCTACACCGAAGGAATCACACCATAAGGCTGTGAAGCATATTCTTCGATCTAGCTCGCACTTCAACACTTGGATTATGGTATCCCAAGGGCTAGACTTTTGATATCATTGGATATTCTGAATCTGACTATGCTGGTGATCAGGTGGATCGCAAGTCAACATCAGGCACATGTCATTTCCTCGGATGATCCTTGGTATGTTGGTCCTCGAAGAAGCAGAATTGCGTATCACTCTCTACTGCTGAAGTTGAGTACATTGCTGCTCAATCGTGCTGTGGTCAATTGCTATGGATGAAACAAACCCCCAAGGACTATGGCATCAATGTGAAGAATGTGCCACTCTACTGCGAAAATGAGAGTGCTATCAAGATTGCTCACAACCCAGTTCAACACTCGAAGACAAAGCACATCCAGATTCATCATCATTTTCATCGTGACCATGTGTTGAAGGGCGACATCTTCATCGACCACGTAAATACTGAAGATCAGATGGCAGATATCTTCACAAAGCCCTTGGATGAGAAGAGATTTAGCAAGTTGTGGTGTGAGCTAAATATCTTAGAATCTTTGAATGTTCTTCGAAAAGGACAGACATCCTAACACTTATTCAAAATTGATGACTTAAATGTGCAACACACGAAATAACGTTTTTCTTCAATCAATGAAGACTAACCCTCTAAGTGTGAAGAAATTAATAAAGAATTTGATTCTCAGAACCCTGCGACAATTGTACGCGGTGTTTGAAATCACCATTCTTATACGGTGGGTTACGCCACCAACCAAAGTTGAAAATCTTCAATTTGAGTTTTAGCAATTTCTTTTTTTTCAGTTCTTCAACTTTGCAATTTTCTCAGTGTTTCCGACTATGCTCTTCATTGCTACATATAAATTTGAGTTTTTCATATCCTCTACAGCATTCACTTATAGCTAATTCTTCAAGTTGCTTTTTCGTCTAAGTGAATGTGATCGGACCCATTCCCCCTCTATGCTTAACTCAACTTAGTCTGTTCACAAATTCTTCATGTGCGTTCTATTTGAAACCCGTTCAAAATCTTCACTGTGTCGTTGACAGCTAAATTTTTTGCAAACGAAACATTAAAATTTTTCCATTCTAATTTTCCAGCTTTTGCCGCTCAAATCCTTCCGCATCCCATGATAGGATTAAACTACTCACCCACGATCTCCACTTCTCAGTATGTGGGTGACACATGTCGCTAGGATAGCAAGGGTTAGGGGCACGTTCATCCAATTTCCTTGGACGAGCGGTTTTTTCACTTCGGCTATAAATACCCCTCCCCTTTCCCTGAGCTCATTTACTCCGCTCGATCTCTCTTCCTCGCTGAGCTCTCTGACCTAGCGCCGTCGCTACATTCCATCATCGTCGGTGAGGAAGAGCTTCGCTGCCTCGACCTCATCGCCGTTGTACTCGCGCCGGCCACAGAAAACTTCACCTCTGTTGCCGCCGTAGCTGTCTTCCTCTGCCAAGTTAGGGCGGGGAAGATCTAAACAGACGAACTTCCATTGTTCACCTCTTAGTTCGTCGTGTTCTTTGTCAATGGTAAATAAAATTCAGTTTTACTGCCCTTGTTGATTCTGATGATTTACACAAAATCTTCAAAAGGTGTTTATTCTTAAAATTTCATATCCTTAAACACCACAGTTGCTTATGTTCTTGATCTATTTCTCTAAGATGTATTTTTCTTCAAGATTCCTCAATTGTGTGGATTTTCAATCTATACAACTCTGGAACCTAAGACAAGAACTCTTAGTGAAATTCCTCAAAGACTCCCCTGGTCAAATTCCTCAAACTTGATTCCTTTTAAAAACAAGTTCTAAGAACGCATATGGCCTCTCCAAATTCTTCGCACCTGTACTCTATTCACAAGTACACATGCCTGCTGCTGAATCACTAGGTTCTCATCAACTTAACTCATTTGCAGCATTCCTCAAAGAAAAACTGCATACCTCTTCAAAGACATCTATTGTTCAGAATTCTCAGGTGAAGAATATGGTTGATGGAAAGCGTCCTCGGAAGGGAGGAAAACGGCCTGAAACTAACACTGCCTTCGAAATCCCTGAAGAAATATATGAAGAATATTGTACTTGTGATGAAGCCACGCATGGCAAGGAAAACAAAAATCAGCGCAAAGTGCGCATTCAGCGGATCGAACGTAGATGGGCAAGAGAATGGAGAGAATATCGCTATGTCACTCCAAAGTATATGAAGAAATTCGCTGTCAATCCTCCATGCCCAAGACCTCCATTGGCCCCAGGCCAAGAAGCTTATCCCACAAGCATCAGAAGAGGTGAGGAATTTCCCAAGGAATGGGCAAAGCGCCAAAGGAAATTGGCCAAGGTAGCAAAGGAAGCAATGAAGAAATTCAATGAAGACACTACTGCTGCTGCTGCTGCTGAGGCCTCTGCTAGCAAACCCAAGAAGGCTATGCTGAAGAAATCTGCTGTGAAGCCACCTTCTTTTTCTGCAATGTCCTCATGGCCCAGCTCATCAAAGCCCTCACGGCCATCTGCTCAAGCAACACCATCAAGTGCAGCACCTGCTCAAGCAAAATCCTCAGTTGCACCTGCAAAGTCCTTAGCACCATTGCATCTTGCCACGTGCCAAAGGACCGCTGGCATATCTATTGCTTCAGGGGCTTCAGCTAGTTCCTCAACCTAGCCTAAGTTGCTGAAGAAAAAGGCTGCTGCTGGACGCGGCACGAGGCCAAGTCCTCACAAGAAGCAGGTTGCTTTTGAAACTCCATCAACTGAAAATGAAGTTGATGATGATGAACTTCCTCAAATCATCACAGACCGACAACACCGGGCCACTAGTGCCAAAGACAGTGTTGTGCCACTTCTGCTGGATCCAAAGAAGATCCTAGATTTCATAGATCTATGGCACAAAGACCCAAACACACCTCTACCTGATCTGAACCTCTCACCTGGAGAAAGTCACATGCTGACTGCCTTTATCGCTGAAGAAAAATGGAAATTTGATAAGGCCAAGTCAGTGAAGAAAGGTCAGTACAAGAAGGAGCACT